TGTTTTGGAAGACTTGGGGTATGGGATTATTGGAAGTACTAAGTCACTAGAGGTGAGCTTTGATAATGTGAAGACTCACCATTTTAAGCTTGGTGTCTCTGCTTCATGCATGGGTTCAAGACGTGAGTGCTCAGCTGCTGTTCCTGCAGCCATCCTGAACTCTTAAACCCTTTGGAACAATAAACCCAAGCAAAGGCATCCTTCTGTAGGTTGCCTTGGTCATGGTGTTTTACCACAGCAATAGAGAAGTAACTAATACAGCGTCCAGATGGTCAGCAATAGAGAAGTAAACTAATACGGTGTCTACGTGGTCACAATGCTGGCTGCCCCTGAGTACACAAGGCCCCTTGAAGGACAACTAAAATCCCTGCCCACCCCCAAGGTGGTATCTACCTAGTGGCATACCTCTATCTCAAGGCTTTGTGCTACACAGTGAGAAAACCTTGCTATCCAAAAACCTTACACACCATAGACAGGCAAAAATCACCATTTTCCCAGCCTGCTTGTGGCAGGATTTATTTTCAAAGCCATGGTATTTATAGCTGGATGTCAGCATTAACTGTGGAGCTTAAATTGCCTACAAATGTCAAGGGTGACCTCCTGAGGAGCAGACAGAGAGCTAGCTGAGCTGTCCCCTCCTCTCCTCCTCAGGGAATCAAGGGCCCTGTGCTGTGGACAGCCCTGCCTGAGCAGAGGCATGGAGGAAACACAGCTCCCCTTGGCAGACCTTCAATGTGATGGCTTGGAAAGCCACACTGGGGACTCCGTTATACCATAGTGGTAATGGAGTAGGGGGGAGCACTTTTTTGTGCGTGTGCCCATGCGTACACAGGTTCTGAGTCTGCATCTGCAGACATGGGAGGGGACACATCAGGCTATTTGTGTTCAGTGTGCATGAGTTCCTGCCCCATCTCAGGAACTCACCACAACGAGGGAGTCACGAGAGTTCCAGAAATTGGAATCTGTTTTCACAAAAAGTAGTTTAGTGTCTCAAACTGAGGGGAAGGAAATAGGTAGGGACCCTTAAGAGTCTCCCTGCAGGCTGCTGGGATGGTTCATCAGACAAAGGCACGCGCCACCAAGACTGATGACCTGGATTGGATCTCTGAAACCCGCATGGTAGAGGGAGAGAATCAACTCCCACCGAATTGTCCTCTGACGGCCACATGCTCCCCATGGCACGTGAGTTCACACACATACAAGCACACGTTATACAAGAAGGCAAATCAGTAAGGTGGGGAAACTAAAACAAAATCTCTGTGCTTTCCCAGCCACTCTGTTGTCGAGCATTTCTCCATTCCATCTGTCCACCAATGGGCAGTGAAACCATCACTCACAAGTACGGAAAAGCCCCTCTCAGTACAATTCACATCCCACATGAGTGGTTACCAAGCCCCAGGCCCAGGGATAGAGACCAGGAATTGGGGATCGGGGGTAAAGTGAGCCAGACTGCCTTCAAATGCCACTTGTCACACATTATCCAGCTGTATGTTCTAGCGTAGGGGACACGCTTCTCTGGGCCTTGGGCTTTTCTTATTTGCTCCACCAATCAACCAGGAGCCATCAGGGAAGCAGTATCTAGCGTCTTCAGCTAAATTAAACGATCAGGGTTAACAGGAAAGCCAGTGTGTGAACATGGCCATTGGAATAATTAGCCACAGACTAATGTCAAACAATAAAACATAAGACAGGCATCCTTCACTTACTGAACATCAGGTTCACACCATCACACTCGGAAGGCAATGTGCGTTGTAAGGCCATAGCATTCAGACAACCGTGACCACCAGACACCTGATGGATAAGTCACATTGACTGACATAAATGCCCACCCCACCTGCCATCAGCTTCCCAGCACTGGGCTGGAGGGGTGGGTTCCTCCTGATGCTCCACTCAGCAGGGAGTGAAGACATCTTCCGTGGTTGGTGAGGATGTCCCAGCGTGAGCCTAGAGTCTCTGTGCTGAGGACCCTGTGGTCACCATGAGCAGTTTCTAACACAAAGTGACTGCCTAGTCCAGCTGTCCATCCCTAGGATTCCTGTCACAGGACTGGTCTCTAAATTCAGCAAAACCCCATGCCCCAAGCCCCGTAACATCCCACCTCCACCCTGACTCCTACTGCCACCTCCAGCCATGAGCAGCTCATGTGGCCTTCAGCTTGAGCTCAGATTCTGAACGTGGCCTCCTCTCATCCTGATGGGCCCTGCCACCATTTCCTGACTGGACTGCCCATCATGCCTGATCCCTGCTTTCTTTGCCAGCTGACATCACTCAGCCCTCAGGAGCAGCTGTGACAAACAACATTGAAAGTGCTCAGATGCCACAGCACCTGTGTACCTGGTGACAAGGATGTCCTCTCACATCCTTCGGGACTTCGCCAGCTTCAGCCTCCAGACTATGGTGTCAGAGCTGGCCTTGTGCCAGATCCAAGCTTGTCCCTGCTTAGTCCTCTGTGCTATTGGCCAGACCTCACACATAGCTGGAGGGCAGAGGGCCAGGAGCTATATAGGAGCTAAGTGGTCATTAAAGCAAAGCCATCTAGCCCAACTGCCTTCAGACATGAGTAGGAACCTTGGCTGGACAGTGAGGGCCTCCAGCCAAGCCGAAGCATGCTGAGCAGCAGTTTCGCCCACCTGGACTGAAGAGCAACAATGAGTAGCTGAACAATTAATTGCTTTAAGTCACCAAGCCTGAGGACAGTCCATCGCATGGTGCCACTGTAATAGTAAGAAGTAGACTTGGTGTCCTAAGACTTTGAGGACAAGATCTAAATGTCTCAGGCTCCCCACACTTCTACAAGGGAGTACCATCCTGTTGATGTTAACAAGACCCTCTCTCAATTCACTTGGAAACATCTCCCTCTGCATATGAGAGTCCCAAGCACATTTCTAAGATGTATCCCATCACCCTATCTACCCATGGGCTTTTCTTCAGGGCACCATCACCCATCACTGAGGGAGACTCTGTGTCCCAGGTTCTTGGTCAGCAGTGCGTGGGTGATGGTCACTGCCTGGTGGCATCTGTGAGTGGTCACGTGTTACCCTCAGAGGCCATGCATGGTACCACTGAGAAATCTTGCTGTGTGGACCCCATTCAGAAGCACTGCAATGGTTCTGTCACTTTGACAAGGACACTAGGGACCCGGCATTCCCCGAAAGAAAGGGTAGGTAAACACAGTCTCCTTAAACAAGCTACTGTCTCCAAAGGAAAATGGACAGCATCTCATGGTGTTTTAAGTGGCATGGATTGGGTGCTGGGAACCAAACTTGGGTCCTCCGCAAAAGCAGCAACTGGTCTTAATTGATAAACCATTCTCTAGACCCAGCCAGTTATTATCTTAAAAGAATAGGAATCAAGAGGGATCCAGGCCAAAGAGAAGTCTACCTGACTGGCCTGACCCACAAGAGGGCCTCCGATCCATTTTGTGTTATTCTCACTAGAGTCCCACGAAAACAGTGTTCCCGGCCCCTCCTTCTCAATTTGATCCGGCTGGCTTCATGAAGATTCTGTCTTGACGACCATATGTGTAAACAGTAGAGGATGTGGTATGGGGGGACCCGGGTGTCCCCCTAACCAGTACTTCAGTTCCCTGGCTGGCACAGATGGTATCTAGGAACAGGCCTGTCTCAGTACTGCCAGCACTCGGTGTGGGACAGCTCTTTGCTATTGGGTCCTCACCTGTATGACAGGAGGTTTAGCATACCACTAGTGGCTCCCTTTCCTATACCAATTAATGTGCCTCTGACATCACCAAGTGACTCCTGGGGTCTTCCAAGAATGAACAACCTAAACTGTCCCCCTGGTCACTTCATGAATGAGCTCCAGATAGCCAGGATTCAAGGCAGTGACTTAATGACTGATGTGGTACTCTCTGTCTTCAGAGCCTCCTGAACTGGAAGCCCACCGAGGAGCCAGCTCCCCAGAGTAGCTTGGGTATGTCTCCATCAAAGTGCTGTGTGGGCACACACTTCTTGTGAGTTTCCAAATGAATAAACACTGGTTTCAAAGTTCTGCTTGATCTGAAGTGTGGCAGCGAGGGCCACACCAGAAAAGGAGCAAATGACCAAAAGGCCAGTAGGGTTGGAGGTGTTCCACCCTACGTTTCTGACTTAGTTAGGGTTTCTATTGCTGTGTCAAAACACCATGACCAAAAAGCAAGCTGTAGAGAAAAGGGCTTATTTGGCTTACACTTCCATATTGGTGTTCATCATCAAAGGAAGTCAGGACAGGAACTTAAACAGGGCAGGAACCTGGAGGCAGGAGCTGATGCAGAGGCCATGAAGAGATGCTGCTTACTGGCTTGCTCCCCATGATTTGGTCAGCCTGCTTTCTCAATGGGACATTAAGAGCTGGGCCCTCCCACATTAATCACTACTTAAGAAAATGCCCTACAGCTGGATCTTATGGAGGCGTTTTCTCAGTCGAGGTTCCCGTTCAGATAACTCTAGCTTGACACAAAACTAGCCAACATAGTATCCTTCTAACATCTCGTGATCAGAAGTTAATATATTTTGAACTCCACAAAAGCAATAAAAAGAAGGAATTCACTCAGTGTCATTCTGGGACAAGCCATCCTCCTATTAATTACAGAGGGGGAATTTGCAGGCAGCACCTGATTGGTATGATCGGAATCAGTAGAAGGGATACCTCTGTTCTAACCATATCAACAGCAGTTACAGACCCTCCCTTACAGACCTCCCAGAACAGCAGGAGATTCGTGGAGATTAGAAACCTGGGAAGATGCCTCTGGTCTTAGCTAAAGCATCCCCATTCCCACCTTCAGGGTGCTGAGCTGTGTTTAGCAACCTCAGAAATGGAATGCATAGTCAGGGTGGCTTCCAGAAACATCATCTTTGGCTATCACATTTATGCCAGAGATGGAGTAACTGTGGCCCCAAGAGCCATGAACTTTGAAGAGGTTTCGGAGCCTCCAGGAGGACAGTCTCTACCCCCACCCCGTTGTTGCTGCAGAAGGGTTGTCACAGCACATGAAGCCATCCTACCTTCAGGACCTGTTCCAAGTTCTCCAGTTTGGCTTGGAGCTGGTGTTTCTCCCTCACAATGAATCAAGCTCTCCTCTCAGGTCACCACAGGGAGTTAGGCATGTTCAGCCTTCACCTGTGAGCAGGACAGGAGACACGGAGGCCATTAGGATCTGAGTGGAATGGGATAGATATCGCACTGCTCCCCTCCTGCTCCTGTGCACTCTCTTCCAGAACAATAAAGAGCCTTGAGTTTTCCTGGACAGACTGTCTGGGGCTGTTCGTACAAGTCAGGGTCACCACCACCACACCCATAGTGATTGGTTCCAGCTTGGAATGAGACCCAATCCTGGCATATGGGCAATACTCTATCCCCTAGATGTAGTCACTGGCTGGAGAAGTCCTGTGACCCTTGTGTGTGGAGCTAATAAAAAAGGAGACTCTCTTCTCGGTGAGCCTGGGAAATCGAGGGGAAGGGCTATAGCTACTGTGTAATCTGCTGCCACAAGAGAACTGGTCTTGAATTAGGTCAATGAGAAGGACCCAGGACCAAGACACACAGATGTAAAAGGTAAAAAGAGCACCTAGATCTAGCTGTACCTGAAGCTGTTTATCTTCCTATCAAGGTTACTTGGGCCAATTGGAGTCATTTCTACCCCTTACACCATGAGAATACTAATAGATAAGAAAGTACTACCCAGACCATCTACAAGTACTAATTCTTCTGTCTAAAATCCTTTCCCAGCATTGACATTGGATGAAAATGGCATGTGCGCGCGCGCGCACACACACACACACACACACACACACACACACACACACACACACACACACACACACTTTTCTGTCTCTCTTGTTTCCCTAAAGCAGGTCGGGGCATGCCTTTGATGAGAGAAGTCCCTGCACTGAGCTTCTATTAATTCTTAGGAGGAAACATATTTCAACCCAAAGGCTGACTTCCAGCTTCCCTCCCTCCCCAGATGTTGGAACAGACTGTCACAATGCCGTGCTTTCCACCTCTAAAGTCCTCGTTGCCTCAGAGATTTTGTGAGCTATACTAGACAGTTTCACTGACTCCAAGGGAGAGGGGGCAGTCACATGGTACTCCTGGTGGCTACAGGGGCTCCTGCTGGGGGCCATGGGGATGTCTGGTATGCAGGAGCTCATGCAAGTCATCTTGTCGCCACCTGAGGCCTCTGGCAACAGACTCAGAAGAAGATGTCATTGTCTATCTCAGTCAAATGGCCCTCAATCTTGAGCCTCAGCCCCAGGCAGAGGCTTGCTGGAAGCTGCCATGTCTCATATTCCCATTTGTCAAGAGAGATGGAGGGGGGCCCACTCTGAGCACTCAGAAGTTGGTCTCATTTGGAGCCTGGTATAGCTTTATGAAGTGTTTTCAAGCCTAGCCTCTCCCTGCTAGAGCCTGTTAGAAACTTCCTGGGGTTTCCATAGAAATCTAAATAAAATCCTGGCCTTCTGCTAGCCTGGCCTGGGATGTCACATGCTGAGGACACCCCGGTCTCTGTTCCCTGAACAAATCAAGCCCATTCCCACTTTTGCACTTAGGAACTCCATTACCTGTGGTGATATTCCTACCCATCCTGCACCACTCCTATCCTGGTGCAGCCCTGTTATGGGGCAGAGCCCCTCTGGCAGGCTGCCCTGCCCACAGAAGGTAATGAAAACCTCATCCTGCCAACTGTCTCCACCCACTGCCAATTTGCCACGCTCCTTTTTTCCAGGCCTTTGCAATTTGGGTGATGATCCTGCATGGAAGCTGGCTCCTGGTGAATGTCATTGGAACTGTCCCCAGAAAGCACCCTGTGTTTCTTCAGCTTGTCCCCAGACAGCATCCTATATTAGACCATGTGGGGTTAGCTATCCTAGATCGTATATTGATGGAGACACAGCCTACTGCCCAGGTGGGCTCCTGCCCTCGGGTGGAATCCTATCCAGCCTCATCCCTGCCGCTGCTTCTGAAAGCTGTACCCCAACTCCTACATACCCCCAGCTCCCACCCCATGGCTATTGACCCTCTGTCCATTCTTTATAAGGACCATGACTCCATCTCCTACATTGCTTTATTGATGGGACTCTGTTTTACCCTACAGCTAGTACTAAGAAATCTATGTGACACAATCCCCAGTGACACTGGAGCCCAGTGACAGTGACTGCTTTGAGTGCAAAAGCATGTAAGGAAGGGTCTGGCTGGTCCTCTTCCAGCCACACTGAGGATACAGTGCTCAGAGTGGCGAAGAAGGCCCGGTAACTGTGTCCCAGAAGCCACTGTCCACACAGGGCAGAGCTCAGCAGGGCTCAACTTGCATTCACGTCCCTCTCTGGTTGGTATCCCCACCCAGGACACTCCTCTCATATGCATCCATGAAACAGGACTGACTCCTGTTTCTGCTGAGAAAAGATGGGGAGGGCCACTGGAGCTGACAGGCCAGAGAAGGGCTCTATCAAGTGACCTGTCGTCTCTCCCTGCTACCACCTTGGGGCCCAGTGAGTGGCGGTGGCCCAGCTGGCAAGGGCCCAGGGCATACCAGGAACCTAGCACTTCAGCTCACGGGTCCCAGCAGAGCCCAGCACATGCAGGGAGGTGAGGATGGAAGGAAGAACGGGTGTGTTTCTACACAAAGATGTGAGGCTCACAGCACATGTTCCTATGACCATAAAGCACCCCTTAAAACTCTCCATGTTGCCGTCGGAGATGTACTCGGCCTAGAATGTTCTCCTGGGAACTGAGTCAAGCTGCTTCCTGCAAAATAGAAATACTCAAAGCCACAAGGCACCCAAAGAGATCTCCCCAGGACAGACAGTACAGGATCCAGATAGCCAAAGGAAAAGGCCATGCCGCTCTCCTTTGTCCCCAAACATAAATAAAGATGCCTTGAGGTCCCTGCATGTGTGCAAGTATCTCTGAAACAAAACTGGAAATAAAAACTGGGGTTGGTCATGTCCTTTCCTTTGCTTAGCCTATCAAATCCTAAATGTCTGTGTGTCATCCCCACAAACTTCCATCACGTTCTCAATTAAACTAATGCCGCCATTTTTATACTGGCATTTGTAACTGAACGTGAACTCTGCCTGTAACAGGGTCACTGGATTTACAGGTTGCAGCTCGAAAGCCCTTGGGCTGTAGATTCACTGATGCAACACCCAGCTTGGGGCCTTGGCACCTCCAGGCTCACATGCTGCCCCATCAGGCAACGCTCACTCAGCAACACTAGCTTCCGGGTATCTGCTTGAACATGTCTAGCTCACAGATGATTCTAGAGGGAGCCACAAGGTTCCTGGCAGGGAGAAGGGCACAACACTTCTACCCGAAGCAAACAAAGCCTCAAACCTCAACCTGCCGTGGGACAGCTGTCCCGCCTGGGGGAAGCTCACAGCTCTGTCTAGCTCAGCCAATGAAGACATTAGAGTTACTTTGTGAGATCAGGAAACAGGTGACTTTGCAAGCCTCAAGGCATTGGGGACATTTTCTGTACTGCATCCCAGATTTGCAGGCTCAACGCTCTTCCACAAGGCTGTCCGCCAGAGGACTTCAGTGCAGTGTTTAATAGTCTAGCCCACATCTGGGTCTCAGAATCTATTGCCTCTGCTGGAACTTAGGAAGAGTAGGGCCACACACACCCTCTCATCCATAATTAATGTTGCTCTCACATGAGGGCTACTAAAACGCAGATTGCAACTCCAGGCAAGTACTGAAGAAGGAAAAGAGCAGACCCCTGAAGTCTTCCCGGGAGCCAGGTTTGTATTGACAAGCCCCTGCCTGCTATGAATCAGATGTAACAGTCACTGTTGTCCTGGGACTTCCCAGCTACTCGAGGACGCAAGATGCTCAGCCCTCGGGAAATCTGGTGAGCCGTTGTCTCCCGTGGAAGGCTCTAAGTCTGCAAGCTAGCTCACCCAGAACTGGGAAGAGAACAGAGCCTGGTCAGGCTGGCAAGGGGGTGGGACAGATCTGGGAAGGCTCTGCCAGCCTGCTGTTCCTGTCTGGGCACTGTGAGTCACCAGGTTCCTCTGACATCCCTGCAAAGCAGAGGGGAATCACTCTCTCTCAGCACCTAGAAACCTACCCACAGATTTATTTTTTACATAATTTTAACTGTGTGTGTGTGAGAGAGAGAGAGACAGAGAGAGAGAGAGACTATACACATGAGTGCAGGTATTCCCAGATACCAGAGGCATGAGATATCCTTTGGAAGCTAGAGTGACAGGTGACTGTAAGCTGCCTGATGTGGGCACTGGGAACTGAACTTAGGTCCTTTGTAAGAACATTGTGCGCTCTTAACCTCTGAGCCATCTTTCCAGGCCTCTAACAGCCTGTTTGACAGGGAATGCTGGGAATGGGCCCATAAGTCTCAGGCCTTAAGGAAAACACAAAACTGAACTAAGTCTACTCTTCAGAAATAGGGATGTCAAGGGCATCCCAGAGGCTGGGCAAAGAGGCTGCCTCAGAGCTGAGACTGTACCTGCTTCTGGGGGAGCACTGGCTTGGCCAGAAACCCACCACATCCCACCAAGCGAGGGGGGTTGACTTGAAAAGGAGGAAGAAGCCTATCCCACGGCCCAGGTCCCCACCAGCCCTACCATTCTATATCAGGCGCGTAAAGCAAATGTCACCATCAATAAATGTGACTCCTGGGCTGAAAAGGTCACAGAGCTTCTCCTGTGTGCATCCTTGGTGTGCGCGTGCCTGAGTCTCCCCTAGAACTGCTTTGAAGAAGAGAGGCTGATGGGAACAGGGAAAGGGGTGCTGGAAAGCACATCCGTTTTTAAGATATGGTTAAACTGTCCACGACGCCACCTCAACTAGTTTCAAGTCTAGTGATACTAATCAAGCTTGCTTCCCCACCCCCCTGCTCCCACGACTGCCACCCATGTCTAGAACTCTGTCTCCTTAAAGCAATGACTCCCAACCTCTGCTCCATTGGCCCCAGGCTCCCGCCACTCCATTTTCTGTCTCATCTTTGGCTACACCAGGGACCTCATTTAAGTACAGTCAAAGCCAGCTAGTCAAGAAGCTTAGTGTGTGTGGGGGGGGGTTGATGGCTCAAAGTCTGCCTGGTGACAGAGCAAGGACAAGGCCACCTTGGGCAACTTGAGAACCTGTCTCAAGATGAAAAGTAAAAAGAGAGCGGGTGGTGTGGCTCAGTAGTAGATGCTTACCCGGCATGTGCGAGGTCCTTGATTCTACCCCCAGACTTCAAATAAGCAAACAGATAAAAAGTTCAATTGTTCAGTCAGTATCCATCGTTTCTGTTGCTGGCTTCCCCTGATGTCCCCAAGGTTCACCCATGCCACATTTCATGTCCGAATGGCCTCTTGTTATGGATGAACACAGAACAGAGCCCAGCCAGGCTGTGCGGGGGTGGGAAAGGTCTGGGCACACCCCTGCCAGTGAGCTGTTACTGTCTGTACCCTGGGAGTGAGTCACCAGGCTCCTCTGACACCCCTGCGAAGGGCACAATCACTGGGTACCTCAAAGCCTATTTAAAACAGCAGGGAAAGCAGGCAGCAGGAGCAGACATTTCTGGCCTTAGGAAAAGTCAAGCTGGGATACCCGTGAGTCCCTTGTTTATCTTCACGGGATACATGGGTTTCTTCCAGCTTTGGGCCGCTGTAAGTTTATCCCATGGGCACACAAACCCATGCTTTTGATTTGTGTGGCTACACACCCTGTGACAGTGTCAACTGTCAACCTGACAGAGTCTAGACTCACCTGGGAGACAGACCTCCGAGTATGCCTATGGGCGGGTGATCTGATTTAGTTAACGAATGTAGGAAAGCTTGACTTGATTGCAGCTGGGACTTACATAGAGCAGGGCTATTCCATGGGCAGATCCTGGTCTATGTAAGATGGAGAAAGTGAGCTGGGCCCCAGCTAGCGTGCCATCATCCCTTGCTCTCTGCTTCGTGACTGTGGACCCAATGTGACCAGCTGCCTCAGACTCCTGCCACTATGTCTTCCCCCGCCTCGGTGGACCATAAAATAGACCCTCTCTCCCTTAAGTTGTTTTTGTCACAGTGTTTCACCACAGCAGCAACTAAAGGGGCTAACACAGACCCCAAGTGGGATTGCTGGATCGTACATAGCCCTAGCTAAATTCTGGAAGGATGTCCAGCCTACTTTCCCCAATGGCTGCCCAGTTCCCACCAGAAATGGACAGGGATCCCTACTCTCATTGACACTGCAATTTATTGGCAGGGGGAAAACTTCATATTTTTAAGATTTTTAATTATGTGTGACATCAGCAGCTCAAAAGCATCTAGTTGGGACTCAGGGACTGACCATGGTTGTGTCCTTGCCTAGCATGTTCAAGGCTCAGTTCCCCAAACTGAAAGGAAAAATCAAAGAATTTTTAAAGCCTGCCCCAGTGGGACAGGCCTGTCACTCTGTATCTCAGGAGACTAAACCAGGGGGACAGGGAGTTCTAGAACCACCTGATATACATAATGAAGCATGTGCCCTAAAAAAAACAAAACCCAAAAGCACTAATCCACTGCTCAACTAATACCAAAGGAACCTCTGCCTTCCACATGCTGGAGGCCCCGCAATGGAGGTGACGACGAAGACCAGACCAGAGGAGACAGATAGACAGACACGGCAGTGAAGATACACCAAAACGAGAAAGGACTGACTGACTAAAAGGCATAAAAACCAGGTGAGACAAGATCCCATAGCAGGAGAGGAGAGGTGAGCCTTCAGACTGGGGGCGACAGGCAGCTTAATGGGAAGGATTTGGGGCTTCAGTTGCCTGGGTTTGGGAAGAAGGGGCAGCAGAGCATTCTGAGCCCAGAAACTATATGGAGCTGAGACCAGACTGCGGTTCCAAACTGCAAAAAAAAAAAGAAAAAAAAAAAAAAGAAAAAAAAGTTGGGGTGGCTGAAGCTTGGTGAATGAGTGGCAGATACCAAGGTCACACAAGGTCACCAGAACTCCATATATTTGTGGGAGGCACAGGAGGAGAGGCACTGAGGAAGCCAAGATCACCCCATCTGCTATGGGGATCATGACAGGATGGCTAGTAGGGAGGTAGAGAGTCTAATTAAGAAACCATTTTTGCATCTTGGTAAGCAAAAACAGTAGCCTGGCATGAACGCCAGCAGCTATGGAAGCCAGGTGGAGAGCTGGGGCTTGGCCAGCATGCCCACAGCATAGAAGAGAAGGACAGAGGATAGAAGACCAGGCACAATTCAGGATGGGCCATCACTCTCTGGTTGGGGCTCCTGACTCAGTGTCTGGTAGATGTCTAGGTAGAGGTTCATGCTGGAGAGACACTGCTGTGTGATTCAGCAGACTGGAGTCTCAGGTCAACTTGGCTGGGTAGAGTCGGTCCATTCCACACGCTCTCCCTTCCCTATGGCTCCTCCCAGGCCTTTCTGAGGTATCCCAAGATGGGTTAACAGTGGCATTATTACCTGGTCATGCTGCTGTGCCCTCCAGGGAAGGCCTTTCCAAGGTCCTCAGTTGATGCTCCCTCTACACATCAGCTTTCAGATCATCTTTCTAGAAAAGAAGGAAAGGGCATGGTGAGATGAGGCAGAGCCTGGGGACACAAAGTTCTGGATAAGAGACTAGATCTAGGCTTGGTGCTGACCCTGGAACCTCAGCCAAGTGGGACCCCATCTTTCTTTCTAAGCCATGCATATCCCAGTTGCAGAATGGGACTGGTGACCTGTACTGTGATGCCATGTGAACACGGAGCTGCTTCTGGTACTAAGGGGGCAAGGCTCTGCCATTCAGTCTTTCAGCAGCTGCAGAAAGGTCAAACTCATTTCCCTTATCAAATTCCATTTCAGCGGCTACAGTTGGTGTTGCCAGGGGGAAATAGCAGGCTGTCTCACTCAAGGCAGGAGACACAACCCAAGACAGCTCCAGGCAAAGACAAAGACATGTAACCTCCTCTTCCTACTACTGCAGTGTTTCCAAATGAGTCCCAGCGCTTAGGGGTCACTTCCGACATTAGTCCCCACAGCATGGAGTCAGTCACAGAAAAGGGTGATGGGAAATAACCAATAGGCCAGATAAGAAAGAGTGCGGTCCTGGATAGTGATATTGAAGAACCTGGCCAGTGATAGACAGGAGTGAATGAGGGAGGTGCCCTGGCTGTGACTTCAATGCAACTGCTTAAACCACGTCATAGGCTCTGGGTGTTCCCTGTGGCAGCAGAGTACACACGTGGTTTGCACCTGGGTACAACTTAGCAAGTACTCAGCGCTCAGCCTTATCCTACCATAACTCTTAGATGGCGAGATGTCCCCTAAGAGGCATCATAGGCAACACTAGAGGGGACCAGGGCTGTCTACTCAGGGAAACCAGCATCATTCTAATTGAACTGAGCACCTCTGAAGTTTAAGCCACTCTAATTAACAATCCCCATTTAAGAAATGCCAAACAAAGATGCCTGTATATATACAGGGTGCGTGCTTGAGACCAGAAAGCCTCTAGACTGTGTGGGTTTGCAGCCGCAACACGACAAAGCCATCTCTACCAGGAAGCATGGGTGACAGCCAAGCTGACGATAGACAGAAGGACATGGCAGGGAGGACTAGGGATTTGACACAGTCTGATACAGGGTTTCTACAGGCTGAGGTCATGGACACCCCTGTCACATAGTGCATGTGACTCTCCTCTGTGTCAGAGCAGGACCCCTGTGGAGGTGGATACCACTGGCTACTGACCGCATCTGAGGGCTCAGTAATTAAGCTCAGTGACACACGCCCACAGCCTAGAGATGGGGAGACTGTGACTCACTTATTGTCACGACTATGTTGAGGAGTAATTCGGGGAACAGGGTCCCTCCTTCCCAGCCTCTTCTGGCCTGGAATAGTATTGCAAAAACAGGCAATCTGGAATAGCATTGCAAAAACAGGCAGTCTGGCTTGCACAGACTTCCTTGCTGCCTCAGATCATTAAACCTGTACACATGTGTTTACACATATGTGTACATGCATGTAGAAGCCAGAGAGTGACTACAACTGTCACACATCAGACATCATCAGTTTGTTTTTCTGAGGCAGCATGTTTCACTAAACTGGAGTTTGTCAATGGTCTGGGCTGGCCAGCAAGTCTAAAGGAACCTCTTGTCTCTACCTCTCCAGAGTATGTAGCTGGCTTGTTTTAAACGCAGGTTCTGGAAATTGAACTTAGATCCTCACACTTGCACGGCAAGTACTCTATTCTTGAGCCACCTCCCTAGTCCTGGATAATTAACTCTTTAGTGATGTATGTAGTTGCAGCCTTTGATCTTGCAATTTCAAAGCCCAGCAAAAGGGAACAGGGCTCAGGATCACCAGGCTTAGGATGCCTAAGAGACAACACATCCACTTGAGACATGTGAGTATATGAAGTCCTGGGTCTACACAGCAGACAGGAAAGCATCATCTACTTACACCCTGCAGATGGGCATACAGCCATGAGGGACAGCTGCAGGCAAGTGACCAGAAGGTCCCAGGACCAGACTTGAGACCCCCTGGGAATGCAATCCTGAAATCTTGGGCCAAAGCAGAAAGTCTAGTAAATAAGGCTTTATCAAGCCTTCAGTATTCACTGATACACTAACTAAAAAAAGACTGGATTGATTTTCTGACACGTAAAGCAGAACTATGGACAAAAAAGAAATTCCAATGAGGATGGGGGAGGAAGGAAAGACCCATTCCAGAGTTTGAATCTCAGCCACCCTCAAGGTAAGCGCTACACATGGACAATTGGCCCAGACACAAGAACATTCTAGACTGATGGTGAATGGGATGTGCCCACTTCAGTCAGCTGCAGCACAGACCCAAGTGTGGAAGCCACACAGGAAGAAGGGTACCCAGTGTCACCAGGGATGCTGTGTCTTCAGCAGCTGTCACCATGGCTTTCTCTCTCGGTTACTCCTGTTTTGATGTATGGTCTAGTGCCTCAAATAAAAACAGGCACAGTGTACTTGTTCCCAAAATAGACACATCTACAGACTGGATCAGGCTTGAAAGCGGGGCTCTTTGTTAGAGAAGTCAGGCAGATGTAGAACACAAATCCTGGTTGTGAGGGCACAGAGATCTGCTGGGCAGGAGTCCCCTATATGCGGGGAGAAAGCAGGCGATGCAGGGTGCTGGGCAGCTCTGTTCGTCTGAGCCTGGAGAGGCCGTCTGCACTTACTGCAGGTGAAACTGCAACCTCTCCAAATTTATAGCCTGGAGTCTCAACGTGGCAAGTTTTGGACAGAGCTCTTGGGAGATCCGTAAAGTTAAATGATGCTGTAAGGGTAACCCACACCGCCCTTCCCCTCTTTCTTCTATCCCTCCCATCCCTCCCATACACATTGCCATGTAAAGACAAAGCCTCCTGCAAGCATAAAGGGAACTGCAATAGTATAGAACTAGCCAGCTCCTTGACCTTGGAGTTCAGTCTCTGGAGTGTCTGTCATTCAGTGCATCCAGCCTAGGGCTCCCAGACCGCTCTATCACCTTGCCACAGCACTGAGAGGTAAGCCGGGTTTTCCCAATTCCCAAAGAGTGTGAGCGTATCAAGAAGTTGACAAGGAATGAACCAGCCCTTTGGATGTCTCCCATCCCCCAGGAATGCTCACCATATCCGCTTTCCAGCAGTAAGATGGGGAGAAGGGAAAACTGAAACTAGAGGGAAAGAATTGTCTGGAGAACTCGTGGGTTCTGCTTCCTCTGCACTCTGGCCTCAGCGGGTGCCCGACGGCACGTGTGTTCTAGAAATAGCCCCTGTGCCTGGGCTAGTGAGAAAGGAAGACAAGATAGGGCACATAAGACATTGACGGAAGCAGAAATACAGGTAGTCAAGGGAAACCTGGGGAACCTGGAGTGAGAGACAAATGAGAGAGAGTAAGGGCACAAAAATAGGAGCTGTCTCAGGTACCTCACGCCACGCGTACCACGGGAAACTCAAATGCCAGGCTCCCAGCAGTACTCACCCACCCATGAGACTTCTTGTAGAGATCTGCAGCTGGAGACAGAAGAAGAGGGGCTGCTAAAGACACCAGAGATGGAGAGACTGTGTTCTTGGCCTCCAGAGAGACCCTGAGAGCCAGGTGCCCAGGAGGAGTCATGGTTGACTCTGTAACAGTGTCTGAGCAGGCTACTTTTGCCCTCTGCTTTCTAAAATCTCTCCAGTCCTCCGAACACTTACCATATCGGCACTTCAGGGTGGCACCTCTATTGCCTGATGCAGAAACTAAGGCACAAGCAGGGGTTCATTAACAGCCTGGACAAGAAGTCTCTACATAGTAAGCTACAGTCAGGGCTTGAGCCAGGCAGTATACACCTCCAACTCCAGCCCCCCCACACCCCGACATACCTATTCTTGCCACACCACAGGCTCCTGTGTGGCAAACCCAGAAGTGTCTCTGACCAGAAGGTTCTAGAAGGCTGCACAGTTACTCCCAAGCTAGGGACTTGCAGGCACAGCCTGGGAATGGGACCTCAGGAGATCTCAGGGGAAACATTCATTTCCATGAACATACATACACATTACCAAACTCCACATAGAGCTGATACCTGCATCCTACTTCATGGACTCAAGCAACTGCCACATTGGCTGTCCAGGGTTAGCAGCCAAGCCAAGTCTCAACAGGGATTTTGTGAAAAGCAACTTTACAAGAGTTTAAACAGCAAAGCCTGAAAGAGGCCTGCCACAACAATGTAAACTTTCAAATGCAGCATTTTTGTGGAAGGATGTGTGAGTGTGCTTGTCCTTGTGTCCGTGGTGTGTGCTGTCGGTGTTGTATGCATGTGTGCATGCGCGGGGGTAGAGAAAGCAGAGGTTACATTGAGTGTCATCTTTTTTATTGAGGCAGAGTCTCTCATTAAACCTAAAACTCATTGATCAGCTAGGCTGGCTGGCCAGAGAGTCCCTGGGATCCTCCTGCCTCAGCCTCCCCAGGGCTGGGATTACAGATTCACTCTGCTGGGTCGGGTTCTTTATATAGGTTCCAGGAATCAAATTTGGCTCCTTGAGCCGGAACAGCAAGCCCTTTACCATCTGCCCAGCGCTGACTGTGACTTCTTTATCTCCAAAGGGAAGCTTGATTTAATGGTTGCAATGACATATCAAAGGAGTCTGGGTTTGCATTCTGAAGTTGGTTAGTTTTGTGAATTTGTTAATGAGTCATTCACTTTGGTTTTGTCATCTGAGAAAAGCTGCAAAAGTTTTAAACTCACTCTCATGTCTGGACATGTGTAATGATTTACAAATAATAAAGAACAGCAGCAGCACTGGGTTCAAATATAGACTGCATCATTACAACATGAAGTCGAATATAGTATTACCATACAAGAATGGTACCATCGATGACAAAGCAAGCCAACACTGGGTGGTGCTTGTTATCTCATTCTTTCTGGGAAGACTTTGCAAGTGGTGCCAGCCTGGTGACATTGGCAGGGAGGATAGAATTACTGCGGGGAGAAGGGGTCTTGAAGATATATTGGGGGGTAGAGAAATGTGCAATTTGCAAAGGAGTGAACAATGGAGAAACCAGTATAATTCCCAATTGCATT